AGACAGTGGACAACCACCACAGCACCAGACAGTGGACAACCACCACAGCACCAGACAGTGGACAACCATCACAGCACCAGACAACCACCACAGCACCAGACAGTGGACAACCACCACAGCACCAGACAACCACCACATCACCAGACAGTGGACAACCATCACAGCACCAGACAGTGGACAACCACCACAGCACCAGACAGTGGACAACCACCACAGCACCAGACAACCACCACAGCACCAGACAGTGGACAACCACCACAGCACCAGACAGTGGACAACCACCACAGCACCAGACAGTGGACAACCACCACAGCACCAGACAACCATCACAGCACCAGACAGTGGACAACCACCACAGCACCAGACAGTGGACAACCACCACAGCACCAGACAACCACCACAGCACCAGACAGTGGACAACCACCACAGCACCAGACAGTGGACAACCACCACAGCACCAGACAGTGGACAACCACCACAGCACCAGACAGTGGACTACCACCACAGCACCAGACAGTGGACAACCACCACAGCACCAGACAACCACCACAGCACCAGACAACCACCACATCACCAGACAGTGGACAACCACCACAGCACCAGACAACCACCACAGCACCAGACAACCACCACAGCACCAGACAACTACCACAGCACCAGACAGTGGACAACCACCACAGCACCAGACAACCACCACAGCACCAGACAACCACCACAGCACCAAACAGTGGACAACCACCACAGCACCAGACAACCACCACAGCACCAGACAGTGGACAACCACCACAGCACCAGACAACCATCACAGCACCAGACAGTGGACAACCACCACAGCACCAGACAACCACCACAGCACCAGACAGTGGACAACCACCACAGCACCAGACAACCATCACAGCACCAGACAGTGGACAACCACCACAGCACCAGACAACCACCACAGCACCAGACAGTGGACAACCACCACAGCACCAGACAGTGGACAACCACCACAGCACCAGACAGTGGACAACCACCACAGCACCAGACAGTGGACAACCACCACAGCACCAGACAGTGGACAATCACCACAGCACCAGACAGTGGACAACCACCACAGCACCAGACAGTGGACTACCACCACAGCACCAGACAACCACCACAGCACCAGACAGTGGACAACCACCACAGCACCAGACAGTGGACAACCACCACAGCACCAGACAGTGGACAACCACCACAGCACCAGACAGTGGACAACCATCACAGCACCAGACAGTGGACAACCACCACAGCACCAGACAACCACCACAGCACCAGACAACCACCACAGCACCAGACAGTGGACTACCACCACTGCACCAGACAACCACCACAGCACCAGACAACCACCACAGCACCAGACAGTGGACAACCACCACAGCACCAGACAGTGGACTACCACCACAGCACCAGACAACCACCACAGCACCAGACAGTGGACAACCACCACAGCACCAGACAACCATCACAGCACCAGACAGTGGACAACCACCACAGCACCAGACAACCACCACAGCACCAGACAGTGGACAACCACCACAGCACCAGACAGTGGACAACCACCACAGCACCAGACAGTGGACAACCACCACAGCACCAGACAGTGGACAACCATCACAGCACCAGACAGTGGACAACCACCACAGCACCAGACAACCACCACAGCACCAGACAGTGGACAACCACCACAGCACCAGACAGTGGACTACCACCACAGCACCAGACAACCACCACAGCACCAGACAGTGGACAACCACCACAGCACCAGACAGTGGACTACCACCACAGCACCAGACAGTGGACTACCACCACAGCACCAGACAACCACCACAGCACCAGACAGTGGACAACCACCACAGCACCAGACAGTGGACTACCACCACAGCACCAGACAACCACCACAGCACCAGACAGAGGACAACCACCACAGCACCAGACAGTGGACAACCACCACAGCACCAGACAACCACCACAGCACCAGACAGTGGACAACCACCACAGCACCAGACAGTGGACAACCACCACAGCACCCGACAGTGGACAACCACCACAGCACCAGACAACCACCACAGCACCAGACAACCACCACAGCACCAGACAGTGGACAACCATCACAGCATCAGACAGTGGACAACCACCACAGCACCAGACAGTGGACAACCACCACAGCACCAGACAGTGGACAACCATCAAAGCACCAGAGAACCACCACAGCACCAGACAACCACCACAGCACCAGACAACCACCACAGCACCAGACAACCACCACAGCACCAGACAGTGGACAACCATCACAGCACCAGACAACCACCACAGCACCAGACAGTGGACAACCACCACAGCACCAGACAACCACCACAGCACCAGACAGTGGACAACCACCACAGCACCAGACAGTGGACAACCACCACAGCACCAGACAGTGGACAACCACCACAGCACCAGACAGTGGACAACCATCACAGCACCAGACAGTGGACAACCACCACAGCACCAGACAACCACCACCGCACCAGACAGTGGACAACCACCACAGCACCAGACAGTGGACAACCACCACAGCACCAGACAGTGGACAACCATCACAGCACCAGACAGTGGACAACCATCACAGCACCAGACAACCACCACAGCACCAGACAGTGGACAACCACCACAGCACCAGACAGTGGACAACCACCACAGCACCAGACAACCACCACAGCACCAGACAGTGGACAACCACCACAGCACCAGACAGTGGACAACCACCACAGCACCAGACAGTGGACAACCACCACAGCACCAGACAGTGGACAACCACCACAGCACCAGACAAGCACCACAGCACCAGACAACCACCACAGCACCAGACAGTGGACAACCACCACAGCACCAGACAGTGGACAACCACCACAGCACCAGACAGTGGACAACCACCACAGCACCAGACAAGCACCACAGCACCAGACAGTGAACAACCACCACAGCACCAGACAGTGAACAACCACCACAGCACCAGACAACCATCACAGCACCAGACAGTGGACAACCATCACAGCACCAGACAACCATCACAGCACCAGACAGTGAACAACCACCACAGCACCAGACAACCATCACAGCACCAGACAGTGGACAACCACCACAGCACCAGACAGTGGACAACCATCACAGCACCAGACAACCATCACATCACCAGACAGTGGACAACCACCACAGCACCAGACAGTGAACAACCACCACAGCACCAGACAGTGGACAACCATCACAGCACCAGACAACCATCACAGCACCAGACAGTGGACAACCACCACAGCACCAGACAACCACCACAGCACCAGACAGTGGACAACCATCACAGCACCAGACAACCACCACAGCACCAGACAGTGGACAACCACCACAGCACCAGACAGTGGACAACCACCACAGCACCAGACAACCACCACAGCACCAGACAGTGGACAACCATCACAGCACCAGACAGTGGACAACCACCACAGCACCAGACAGTGAACAACCACCACAGCACCAGACAACCATCACAGCACCAGACAACCACCACAGCACCAGACAGTGGACAACCATCACAGCACCAGACAGTGGACAACCACCACAGCACCAGACAGTGGACAACCACCACAGCACCAGACAGTGGACAACCACCACAGCACCAGACAGTGGACAACCATCACAGCACCAGACAGTGGACAACCACCACAGCACCAGACAACCACCACAGCACCAGACAGTGGACAACCATCACAGCACCAGACAGTGGACAACCACCACAGCACCAGACAGTGGACAACCACCACAGCACCAGACAGTGGACAACCACCACAGCACCAGACAGTGGACAACCACCACAGCACCAGACAGTGGACAACCATCACAGCACCAGACAGTGGACAACCACCACAGCACCAGACAGTGAACAACCACCACAGCACCAGACAGTGAACAACCACCACAGCACCAGACAACCATCACAGCACCAGACAACCACCACAGCACCAGACAGTGGACAACCATCACAGCACCAGACAGTGGACAACCACCACAGCACCAGACAGTGGACAACCATCACAGCACCAGACAGTGGACAACCACCACAGCACCAGACAGTGGACAACCACCACAGCACCAGACAGTGGACAGCCATCACAGCACCAGAGAGTGGACAACCACCACAGCACCAGACAGTGGACAACCATCACAGCACCAGACAGTGGACAACCATCACAGCACCAGACAACCATCACAGCACCAGACAACCACCACAGCACCAGACAACCACCACAGCACCAGACAACCACCACAGCACCAGACAACCATCACAGCACCAGACAACCACCACAGCACCAGACAACCACCACAGCACCAGACAACCACCACAGCACCAGACAACCATCACAGCACCAGAGAGTGGACAACCACCACAGCACCAGACAGTGGACAACCACCACAGCACCAGACAGTGAACAACCACCACAGCACCAGACAACCACCACAGCACCAGACAGTGGACAACCACCACAGCACCAGACAGTGGACAACCACCACAGCACCAGACAACCACCACAGCACCAGACAACCACCACAGCACCAGACAGTGGACAACCACCACAGCACCAGACAGTGGACAACCACCACAGCACCAGACAGTGGACAACCACCACAGCACCAGACAGTGGACAACCACCACAGCACCAGACAGTGGACAACCACCACAGCACCAGACAGTGGACAACCACCACAGCACCAGACAGTGGACAACCACCACAGCACCAGACAGTGGACAACCACCACAGCACCAGACAGTGGACAACCACCACAGCACCAGACAGTGGACAACCACCACAGCACCAGACAGTGGACAACCACCACAGCACCAGACAGTGGACAACCACCACAGCACCAGACAACCACCACAGCACCAGACAGTGGACAACCTCACTACACCAACATCTGTATTAGAAAAAAAAAATACTCACTACTGGCGCGGGATTCGAACTCTGTCTGTCGTAGGGCTTGAGGGTGTCGCCGGCGTCCAGCCCCTCCTCCAGGTTAAGGATCTCGTCGATAACATCCTCTACCTGTCAGGGAGAGAGATAAGAGCTGTTATCGTAGGCAGCAACACTCAGGATAGCGTCAAGGATATCACACCCCCTTAGGTGTGGACAATGTCTAGTTAATTATAGAAAGTCGTTAGAGTATGATAACCAGGCTACGATAACACTATATATATATATATATATATATATATATATATATATATATATATATATATATATATATATATATATATATATATTATAAAAAGGACATTAATAAGCTTTCATATATACACAATAGAACAAAATATATGAAAATACATATTTTGTAAATATACATAATTATGTATATACACATAATACACACATGTATACATGGTAACGAGCGGTCGTTACAATGCCACAGTAATTAACCGAAGGTGTCCTCACCAACGGCTAAATTACGGGGATTTACACGGATATTCTGACGCCTGGGTATTGACAGGTCGGCCTGGTGACAGTCAGAGGTGACAGTCAGAGGTGACAGTCAGTCAGGAGGTGACAGTCAGAGGTGACAGTCAGAGGTGACAGTCAGGAGGTGACAGCCAATCAGGAGACAGTCAGAGGTGACAGTCAGAGGTGACAGTCAGGAGGTGACAGTCAATCAGGAGGTGACAGCCAATCAGGTGACAGTCAGAGGTGACAGTCAGGAGGTGACAGAGGTGACAGTCAATCAGGAGGTGACAGCCAATCAGGTGACAGTCAGAGGTGACAGTCAGGAGGTGACAGTCAGAGGTGACAGTCAGGAGGTGACAGTCAGAGGTGACAGTCAATCAAGAGGTAACAGCCACTCAAGAGCTAACAGGCAACCAAGAGCTAACAGCCACTCAAGAGCTAACAGCCACTCAAGAGCTAACAGCCACTCAAGAGCTAACAGGCAACCAAGAGCTAACAGCCAACCAAGAGCTAACAGCCAACCAAGAGCTAACAGCCAACCAAGAGCTAACAGCCACTCAAGAGCTAACAGCCACTCAAGAGCTAACAGCCACTCAAGAGCTAACAGCCAACCAAGAGCTAACAGCCAACCAAGAGCTAACAGCCACTCAAGAGCTAACAGCCAACCAAGAGCTAACAGCCACTCAAGAGCTAACAGCCAACCAAGAGCTAACAGCCAACCAAGAGCTAACAGCCACTCAAGAGCTAACAGCCAACCAAGAGCTAACAGCCACTCAAGAGCTAACAGCCAACCAAGAGCTAACAGCCACTCAAGAGCTAACAGCCAACCAAGAGGTAAGAGCCAACCAAGAGCTAACAGCCACTCAAGAGCTAACAGCCAACCAAGAGGTAAGAGCCAACCAAGAGGTAAGAGCCAACCAAGAGCTAACAGCCAACCAAGAGCTAACAGCCACTCAAGAGCTAACAGCCAACCAAGAGCTAACAGCCAACCAAGAGCTAACAGCCAACCAAGAGCTTACAGCCAACCAAGAGCTAACAGCCAACCAAGAGCTAACAGCCAGCCAAGAGGTAACAGCCAACCAAGAGGTAAGAGCCAACCAAGAGCTAACAGCCAGCCAAGAGCTAACAGCCAACCAAGAGCTAACAGCCAGCCAAGAGGTAACAGCCAGCCAAGAGCTAACAGCCACTCAAGAGCTAACAGCCAACCAAGAGCTAACAGCCAGCCAAGAGCTAACAGCCAGCCAAGAGCTAACAGCCAACCAAGAGGTAAGAGCCAACCAATAGCTAACAGCCACTCAAGAGCTAACAGGCAACCAAGAGCTAACAGCCACTCAAGAGCTAACAGCCAGCCAAGAGCTAACAGCCAGCCAAGAGGTAACAGCCAGCCAAGAGCTAACAGCCAACCAAGAGCTAACAGCCAGCCAAGAGCTAACAGCCAGCCAAGAGCTAACAGCCAACCAAGAGGTAACAGCCAACCAAGAGGTAAGAGCCAACCAAGAGCTAACAGCCAGCCAAGAGCTAACAGCCAGCCAAGAGCTAACAGCCAACCAAGAGCTAACAGCCAGCCAAGAGCTAACAGCCAACCAAGATCTAACAGCCAGCCAAGAGCTAACAGCCAACCAAGAGCTAACAGCCAGCCAAGAGGTAACAGCCAAGAGGTAACAGCCAACCAAGAGCTAACAGCCAACCAAGAGCTAACAGCCAACCAAGAGCTAACAGCCAACCAAGAGCTAACAGCCAGCCAAGAGCTAACAGCCAGCCAAGAGGTAACAGCCAAGAGCTAACAGCCAGCCAAGAGGTAACAGCCAAGAGGTAACAGCCAACCAAGAGCTAACAGCCAGCCAAGAGGTAACAGCCAGCCAAGAGCTAACAGCCAGCCAAGAGGTAACAGCCAAGAGCTAACAGCCAACCAAGAGGTAACAGCCAAGAGCTAACAGCCAGCCAAGAGGTAACAGCCAAGAGCTAACAGCCAAGAGCTAACAGCCAGCCAAGAGCTAACAGCCAGCCAAGAGCTAACAGCCAGCCAAGAGCTAACAGCCAAGAGCTAACAGCCAGCCAAGAGCTAACAGCCAGCCAAGAGCTAACAGCCAGCCAAGAGCTAACAGCCAAGAGCTAACAGCCAGCCAAGAGCTAACAGCCAGCCAAGAGCTAACAGCCAGCCAAGAGGTAACAGCCAAGAGCTAACAGCCAGCCAAGAGCTAACAGCCAGCCAAGAGCTAACAGCCAAGAGCTAACAGCCAGCCAAGAGCTAACAGCCAAGAGCTAACAGCCAAGAGCTAACAGCCAACCAAGAGGTAACAGCCAAGAGCTAACAGCCAGCCAAGAGGTAACAGCCAAGAGCTAACAGCCAAGAGGTAACAGCCAAGAGGTAACAGCCAGCCAAGAGGTAACAGCCAAGAGGTAACAGCCAAGAGCTAACAGCCAGCCAAGAGGTAACAGCCAGCCAAGAGCTAACAGCCAAGAGGTAACAGCCAAGAGGTAACAGCCAAGAGGTAACAGCCAGCCAAGAGGTAACAGCCAAGAGGTAACAGCCAAGAGCTAACAGCCAGCCAAGAGCTAACAGCCAGCCAAGAGGTAACAGCCAAGAGGTAACAGCCAAGAGGTAACAGCCAGCCAAGAGGTAACAGCCAAGAGGTAACAGCCAAGAGGTAACAGCCAGCCAAGAGCTAACAGCCAGCCAAGAGGTAACAGCCAAGAGGTAACAGCCAAGAGGTAACGAGCCACAAGCGACGGCTAAGATCACAATATAACTAATAATCATTAAGACCGTCACATTAGTCACCCTTGTCTTCTTATAAAGTTATTTTTGCTTCAAGTTTTAACTAATAAAGTTATTGCTAGGTGGAGGCCCGGTCACTGAGGTGTTGAGGCGGGGACTGGGGTGCCACAGATGGTGACACACAGCCTGCTTGATCAAGGTTTACCTCTCCCATGCACCTTCAACCTGTCCTTCTACCAAAGAACGTCGCTTTTCGCACGTATGGGTTACCTAATAAAACTGCTCCGTTTTCTGTTTTAGGTCCTCTGGTTAGGTTAGGATAAGGGCACCTCTGCTCTTCACTGGACCTCTGATGTTTATACAGTGTTCTCTGATCAGGGTGTGGGGTCCACACCCTCACAGGAGGGGGTGTGGACCCCCACTACCACTCACAGGAGGGGTGTGGACCCCCACTACCACTCACAGGAGGGGGTGTGGACCCCCACTACCACTCACAGGAGGGGTGTGGACCCCCACTACCACTCACAGGAGGGGGTGTGGACCCCCACTACCACTCACAGGAGGGGTGTGGACCCCCACTACCACTCACAGGAGGGGGGTGTGGACCCCCACTACCACTCACAGGAGGGGGGCGTGGACCCCACTACCACTCACAGGAGGGGGGCGTGGACCCCACTACCACTCACAGGAGGGGGGTGTGGACCCCACTACCACTCACAGGAGGGGGTGTGGACCCCCACTACCACTCACAGGAGGGGGGCGTGGACCCCACTACCACTCACAGGAGGGGGGTGTGGACCCCCACTACCACTCACAGGAGGGGGGGGCGTGGACCCCCACTACCACTCACAGGAGGGGGGCGTGGACCCCCCACTACCACTCACAGGAGGGGGGCGTGGACCCCCCACTACCACTCACAGGAGGGGTGTGGACCCCCACTACCACTCACAGGAGGGGGGGCGAGGACCCCCACTACCACTCACAGGAGGGGGGCGTGGACCCCCCACTACCACTCACAGGAGGGGTGTGGACCCCCCACTACCACTCACAGGAGGGGGGCGTGGACCCCCCACTACCACTCACAGGAGGGGTGTGGACCCCACTACCACTCACAGGAGGGGTGTGGATCCCACTACCACTCACAGGAGGGGGTGTGGACCCCCACTACCACTCACAGGAGGGGTGTGGACCCCACTACCACTCACAGGAGGGGGGCGTGGACCCCACTACCACTCACAGGAGGGGGGCGTGGACCCCACTACCACTCACAGGAGGGGGTGTGGACCCCCACTACCACTCACAGGAGGGGGGCGTGGACCCCACTACCACTCACAGGAGGGGGGCGTGGACCCCCACTACCACTCACAGGAGGGGGGCGTGGACCCCACTACCACTCACAGGAGGGGGGCGTGGACCCCACTACCACTCACAGGAGGGGGCGTGGACCCCACTACCACTCACAGGAGGGGGTGTGGACCCCCACTACCACTCACAGGAGGGGGGCGTGGACCCCCCTACCCCTCACAGGAGGGGGGCGTGGACCCCACTACCACTCACAGGAGGGGGGCGTGGACCCCACTACCACTCACAGGAGGGGGGCGTGGACCCCCACTACCACTCACAGGAGGGGGGCGTGGACCCCACTACCACTCACAGGAGGGGGGCGTGGACCCCACTACCACTCACAGGAGGGGGGCGTAGACCCCACTACCACTCACAGGAGAGGGCGTGGACCCCCACTACCACTCACAGGAGGGGGGGCGTGGACCCCACTACCACTCACAGGAGGGGGGCGTGGACCCCACTACCACTCACTGGAGGGGGTGTGGACCCCCACTACCACTCACAGGAGGGGTGTGGACCCCACTACCACTCACAGGAGGGGGGC